ATTGCAACGGTTTTCAACAGAGATATATGTAGCATACAATGATTGTGACATTTATATTAAAATAATTCTGGGTAAAATAATTGTCATGCTTTGTTGTGAACAGCTTCTGTGAAACCAGGAATAACTTGAAGCGGTTAAGACTGCTATTTGCCTTCTAAAGGGAGGTACATCATGGTAAAATAAACACTGAGCCATATTTATTCTGTAAACGAAAACATCATCTGCAGAAAAAATAATTCTGATTTCCATTTTCATAGCAAGCGTGGGAGGTGAAAACCTCTCAGATTCAGTTGGGATCCGGGAATCTACAAGTGAGGACAAAGTAAGGTCTGTACATCCGGACTCAATGGAAGGAGCCCCCATTGTCCAGAATCCTCTAGGGAGTAATCTCATGCAGGCCACCTCAGCGATTCAGCCGGGTCCTCCACACTCACCGTCTGGTACCACAGGCTCCGACCTTCCTTAGACCTGTACCCTCTCAGCCATTTAGGCCTGGAAAGAAAAAATAAACACAACAGAGATCTTGTGAAGAAAACACAAAGATGAGTCTGAACAATGTCGCCCATGGGAACACTGCAGAAACATCTCAGGTGACAGACTCAGCCGTGGGCCTTCAGTGACTGGAGACTTGAGGAGAATATGCAGAAGATGTGAAACTGAATGAAGTCAAAAGGGACAGTATGAAATTTACTTCATTTAAAAATGTTGCCTTCTGTCTTGAGGCCTGTTGTGTGTTTTGGTCAGGATATATAAACTCAATGATGATACTTTAATTTTTTTTGAAAAAGGGAAGATACTTTCAAAGTTATTTAAAAAACCAACATTCATTCAATGCTTCACAGCATGTGTCAACAAGCTGTACTCTGTGTACCTACCGTATGAATCTTTTGTAGGTCTGTTGTCAATTATTTTGTAGTTTTCTTTCTTGTTTCTCTGTTTTTACTAAGCTTTAATATGTAAATTTTAAATTATTTATATTACATTACTAAAACACTGTCTGTATATGATGCTCTCTGTATGCAAATATATTGCACAGTATTTTACATGAAGTCTTTCAGTTATTAATATGATTTATCTTTTGTGGATGTTTATAATAAAAGACTTTGAAACAGGCTGTATTGCACACACAAAAGCAGACATTTTTAGAATGATATAAGCCTTTTAAGATGTGTTATTCATTTAAAGGACTATAAGATCAGGGATTAGGCTACATTTTGAATTGACAAGAGCTTTTTGAAGTTGAAAATTAAATTAAAAAAACAGATTTTTAGAATATGGAACAGTTGAAAAAAGCTCATATCCGGTATTGGACTGTCTATAGGGTATGTGTATATGGAAAATATTTTCCAATCCATTTCTCAACGCTGTGATTATTTACCATATTATTGCCCGCTAATTAATAGTATGTAACGGATTTTTAAAATCGACTAATAGTTGATCATTTGGATTTGAACGGCAGAAGAATCTCTCAAATGTCAGCAGCCACTAGAGGGCGCAATAGAACTAGACATAGTATGAGACTATAACATGGTTACGTATTCTTGTCAAAACTCAGTTCAGTGCGTCCTTAATATATTGTAGTTCAGGTTGGTAGCTGCGTCAGCATGCGTAGGCTTTAAAGGAACAAGCAATAGGTTTATTCCATGCTCAAAAGAGAAGAAACACAACGTTTCTGCCATGGAGCCTTGTGAGCTTGATGTAGAGCCACGCCTCACACCAGTAGAAGGCTCCACGGCCGAAACGTTTCTTTCTTCTCTTTTCAGCATTTTAATAAACCTTTACTTGTTCCTTAATATATTGTACTTTGCACACAGGCTTCATATGAGATACATTTTTCACTTATGGATGCCACAAGGGCTAAAATAATAGATATCGGCAGCATCTGTAAATGGTCAAGTGCATGATACATTAGCAGCCATAACTGGACACAAATCAGGTTTGTGCGTAGTCAGAGGTTGGGCGGAAACCAGAAGTGTTGATTACTTTCCTCTAAATCAGAAACTCCCAAACATATAAAGTGACGGATGATAACTTGCTGAGGAATCGCTGGCATACAGCAGCTATTACTGTAAATGGCATTACTGTGAAAAGGAAATGTGCTAACTGTTGAGCATGGTGGAATTTGTTTGGCCTCTCTCGATCTGTCCGGCATGTACCTCTCATGAGTCTTAGCAGTTCCCACCTGCCCACCCATATCAACATTGTAGTAGGATGCTGTATGTTCATGATTAGCATGCTCATCACAGTTGTGGTGGATGAAGGGCTTTGGGATCATGCTGTCTATCATGGGAGATGTTCTGGTGAACATCAAGTTCTGGGACACTACTCAGAAATTCCAATTTCTTCAGAGCCTCTCATTTTTATAACACTCCTAATTACTCCAGGGAGCTTTTAAACCATTGGATCCAGTCCTGGTCCTGGTGACCTGCAACTTGTTGGCTTTTGTTCCAGCCAAGCCTTCAGTTAAGCCAATGAAGGGTTTGATTGTTTAATAATAGTAAGATTCATTTCAACTGTTTTTTTCCCAGCTCTTAAACATGCTGGAGCTTTAATATTTTGTCAGTGAAATGAATTCCCAAATGTGTGATTAGAAACAAAATGCAATTATTCCTACGAAGCAACTTCTTAGATCAAGGGAGGCTTCAGATATCTAATTAAGGCGGGATGAATGAAAACCACCAGGTGTGTGGGTCACCAGGACCGGGATTGGGATTGGGAAAAAACATTGTTTTAAACCATACTGAAGTTTTGCTTTGCTCCTGTAAGGCTGATCTTCTGCTGAGCTAATTGGGGACAAACTAATTTTTATTGTAGCTTTGGCATAACCCAGGGGTGTCAAATCCTGGTCCTGGAGGGACAGACCATGGGCAGGTTTTAATAATAATAATAATAATAATAATAATTGCTTACACTTATATAGCGCTTTTCTGGACACTCCACTCAAAGCGCTTTACAGGTAATGGGGACTCCCCTCCACAACCACCAATGTGCAGCCCCACCTGGATGACGCGACGGCAGCCATAGTGCGCCAGAACGCTAACCACACATCAGCTATCGGTGGGGAGGAGAGCAGAGTAATGAAGTCAATTCATAGAGGGGGATTATTAGGCCATGATTGGGAAGGGCCAATGGGAAATTAGGCCAGGACGCCGGGGTTACACCCCTACTCTTTTCGAGAAACACCATGGGATTTTGAATGACCACAGAGAGTCCGGACCTCGGTTTTACGTCTCACCCGAAGGACGGGAGGTTTTCCAGGTCTCTTTGAATTAGCTTGACACGAAGACCTGGAAGAAGCTGATTAAGCCAATAATGATTTAGGTTGTTAATGGCGCAGCTAGGCTGTGTGCCTGAAGACACACGGAATCACCAGGACCTGGATTGGGGGCCCCTGGCATTAATGAATCAAAGCAAAAGGGTGCCGCTGAGAGGTTTGTATATGAGACGCGATTCATGCCTATTGGTGTGTCACCATTGCACTGGAACAAGGGGCCCTGTAACCCATCCATTCATCAGGCCAATTTTTAACTGTATTCAGTAGTGGGTCATAGTGGAGCTGGAGCTTATCCCAGCAAGCAACAGGCACACGATGGGATACACCCTGGGTGGGATGCCTGTCCATCACAGGGCACAGAGTGGGCTCACAGGCTCACACAGACGTAAACAGGCACACACTGAAACCAGGGCCACTTTTCCCAGAAGCCGATGAACCTACCAGTATGTCTTTGGAGTGTGGAAGGAAATCGGAGCTCCCGGAGGAAACCCATGCAAACATGGGGGAACAGTCAAACTCCACACAGATAGCACCGCTGGAATTGAACCCAGGGCCCCAGCACTGTGAGACAGCAATGCTAACCACTGCACAACCATGCCACCCTCCTTGTAAACCAATTCTGTGTAGTTAAACATTACAGTAATTTTTTGCATCAGCCAATTTCCCACTTTATACCATAATCACCTTATTTACTCTATCAGTGCTAGAGATGATCATTGTGTAATTATCACTATGTTGTGATGCTCTTTGGTAATTTGTTGAAGTATCAGTATCCTATTGGGTAACATTGCTGTGGACAGCACAGAAAAAATAAAACAATATGAACATGCAAGAATGACCACTGGACGAGCTAGACAGGACAGACGGCATCCTAAAGCAGGTGTTATTCATGAAGATTAAATTCTGTGATCAATATCAAAAGTAACTTTTCCCAAAATGAATTAAACATTTTGTGATCCCAGAATGAAAAAAGAATATCAGGGAAGAGACATGGATGTGACATGATTTGTGTCTCCATCAAGCAAACAGTGAGTAATAGAAAGGGCAGAGGTGCACAAAGGTTTCTGATAGCCTAGCTGCTAAAGACATGTTGTTCTGGGCTCAAAGCCAAGTTGTATTTCCTGGAAAACATTTGACACATGTGCCCATGTTCTGAATTTACTTCATAGTCTCTGTTTCCTGTCACAGTCTCTTTGGTTAACTGAAAAATGCCTTGGGATTCATACTATACATTAACTACTAGATGAGTTAAGGAAACAGCACTTGTTAAGCTTCACATAATTCACGTCTAAATGCAGGTGACAAGGGGCTATTTCTGTTGAACTAACATCATGTAGAAGAATTATTGGGCACTATTTCATTAACAGTCCTGCTGGTGATATGTAGTCAAGCATGCTGTACAGTATATACTGTATGGTACCCTTTCTGTTCTGAATTAGGATCCCTTCAAATTCAAGCAAAACAATTCAGTTAACTGAGCCTTCTCTTGGTTCAAATACAGTATACTGCATGACCTTCAACAATTAGGAAATAGAAACTAGTAAATAAACAATCAAAATAAATTCCTTTTCAAATTCTTTAAATATTTAACTGGTGACATTTAACAAACAGTTGTGACTGGACTTTGGAAATGACTTTAGGGCACTTTTTCACAATGTCAATGCAGGAAATATATGTCCTATATGTAAAAGACTGAGATCTCATGCCATGAAGAGTTTTGGGAAAATGCAAGGAATTATTGTTGTTGCTGCTGTTATCAGTCATAGTGGCAGTTGGATACAACAGAAACATTCCCTTTAGATACTGTAGGTTCCTATCATTGGTTTTAAGGCTTTCTTGTCATCTTTTAGCTTTTCCTTCAGCTCAGATATTAATTGCAGGCTGATTGATTTCAGTTTTCTAAATGTGGCATGTTTTTGTTTTTGTCTTGTTCAAATGGGATTTGTAATTAGTATCATTTTTAAACCAATTTCTGACGTTCGAAATGACCCTCGTTCAGGTGTGTTGCCTGAAATGTAACCATCTGGATCTCTGTAGAAAAAAAACACCTGTGTGTAATCCTCATTAATGGATAATATATTTTGACCGAACAGTGCTTAATTAAGTGTGAACAAGTTAAGGAGAAGTTCCTTACATTTCTTAGAAACAGTTGGAAACAGTGACCTTGAACTGGGGTAACTTTGACACCTGGGACTAACTGAAGAAGGAAGTTAAATTACAAAAAACAACCAAGTGGAACAATTACAGTAAATCACCAATTAGTACCAGAGATATGGAGTTCAGCTGGAATGAAATCCAGAAGACAAGAATTCCTTCAGGACGAGGGACTAGACATTCCAGACTACCAGACAGATCTGGGGAGGTACATTTTACAGTTTACAAGGACACCCACTTGTTCAAGAACTATACCTGTATACCATATAGTTTTAATAAAAACATGAGAGAGTTCCTAAAACCTCAGATAAATATAATGCGTATGCAAATGGTTTCATGTGTGCATGCATTCCCAGGGCAGACTGGTATTCCTCTTTTCAACACAAAACATGTTTTTCTGTAAAAACCAAGGACGCAGACATCAGGCAGCAGAACTGTTGCCTTACATTAAGTGGTTCCCAGTCAGAAGTTTTTTTTTCCTGTCCTAGACTGCAACAGTACCCTTTTTCTTTTATAACGCTACCCCTTTTATTGTGCAATTTTAAATGAGAAATACAAATCATTCAGTTTTGTTTTTATTTCACCTAGTGCTCTAATATAGAAATTTGTTTCAGAAATACT